TACTGCATCCTGGCCACCTGCTTGTCCCCAGATCTCCTTTCATCCTGTTCAACTTTTTCTTTTGCCCATTGCACTTACCAGTGTACCGTGTAAATGTAGTTTTCTGTCAAATAATGTAAGCCCCATGAGGGCAGGGTCCTCTCTGATGTGTCCCAGATGAGTGGCCCTTAGTACGTGCTCAACATTTACCTTTTTAATGACTGAATCAGTGTTCAGATGCCATTGTTGTACACATGAAAAGCTACTGCTAAGTGTGGGGAGGACAGTTATGGGGGTAAGGGATTGAGCAAAAAGGGAAAAGGACTCATGGACATGGAAAAGTGTGGTGATTGCTGGAGGGGGAGAAGGTATAAGAGGACTAAATAGTAATGGAAAAAATATACAATAAAAAACCAAGCTACATGCCGTTTTCAGTTGCAAGTGTATGCCTGGCGGGTGACATGCAGCCTGTGGATGTGAATAGGAGTGCTTCTGTCCAGAACACACTACTGCCTGCCTCTAGTGCGTTGAGGGTTGGAGGCAGCTCTTGAAGCAGAGAGTGAGGTCACTGTTGCTTATAAATTTGTTTTCCTAAGGGGAACTTTGCTCACTAATTCAAGGCAGCTATATAATTTAACTCGTAGTCTCAGTTTCTTATTTGCCATCTGGCCATCTGATTACTTTTAAGTAAAGCTGAAAGAATACAAATTAGAAATCTGTAATAATATGTATGGTAATATGATGTGTGTTTTTTTTGTTTGCTTTGCTTTTGTTATTCAAAATTTAAGATTAAGGGGAGAGGAGGAATCATTCCAAAACTTTCCCTAGAGGGAGCCCCTTATATAAATTTTATTCTTTGACTAAGAGCTTTTGTTATAAACTAAACGTTTTGAGTTAGTGGATTATTACATTTTTCCATTCAGTTGTAAGTCTGGCCCAAAGCTATGAAATAAGAGGTTGTCTAACGTGTTTCAGAAACTGTTTTGCCATAAAGTGGAATTGGGGGAAGAAGTGAGGAGCATTATTTTCTTTTGTTTTTATAACATTTCCTGATCTGTGTTCTTTTTCCTTCTTGTCCCTGTTCCTTTACCCAAGAATATGTTTTTTCCAGTGCCTGGCTATACCCCATTTCTGATTCTTCTCTCTGTTTGTGTTTCCTCAGCTCTCTGAGGGTAGTTACTAATGGACAAAAGAACCAGAACAGTATTCTACTCACAATAAAGGGGAACCCAAATAATGTTTGAAATTACTCCTCTTCTTCCTCATCGGGGAGGGGGTGTGTGTGTGCAATTTATTTAGCCAGGTGCTTAGATGATAATTAAATTTAAAATACCAATTTAAATGATTAGGATGCTTTATCTAATATCTCCTTCAGAGTGGGTAAGTTGGGGTTTCACTTGGGGGAGAGAGTTGCAAAAGCTAGGTGCAAATAAGATCAAACTTGGGAACGATTACAATGCTGATTATCAATCACTGGCTAAAGAAAAAAACTGGGTGAGAAGACCTGGTGTACTAATTTGCACAAAAATGCAACCAAGTCATCACTTACAGCTCTGTGGAGATTCTATTGTAAAGTTTTACTGCTTGTAAATGCTTCTTTGGTGCGGGAGGCAGAGCCTGGGGGCGTGGTCAGGGAAACAAAAGTTGGGCTCTTTTTCCCCCTAAATCAGTTCCAATGCCTGAATTAACTGGAGAGTCAAAGAATCAACACAGACTTGCTCTAAGACTTGTCGGCTCCAGTAAAAAGATCTGGACATTCATCGTGACCTACTGAAAATGGGGAGCACATTTGCTTCACCTTGACCTTCATAGAGGAAACCTGCACTGGTTTGTGGACTACAGAGCGGAGACACTTCTGATCTGTTAGAGAGAAAACTGAACAAATGAGCCCTGAGGCAGAAAGACTGAGGTGGCTATCATGCAAATAAGGATGGTGATTGGCTTTCTCTTTCTGCACACGTTGCCACTGGCGGCTCTGAGCCTTAAAGATTAGGTTTCAGTGGGAGATTTTCAGGTTCAAGGACTGTTAATGGTTTGTAACTGCCTGACAATAAGCTCAACCTCCAAGTTACATCAGCCTGGGCAGACGTCTAATGATTGGAGAACAGAGCGAGAAGTTAGAATCTGGATCAGGAGGATGCAGCTTGCCACCTGCCCGCTGGACTGAGCTTTGAATGTGATTTAAATTTCTAAGCCCTGTGTAGGCATCCTGGAAATGGTGGTCTTCATTAATGCAAAGCTCAAGTCTTTAATTAAACTTTTTAAGAAGAAAAGTAAGTAGTTTCTTTTCTCCCCACTATTTGTGTGTGTGTTTATGTGCTAGTTCATCCTTTTGAGTGGCAGAATGAGAGTGGAAACAGCATAATTAACACAAGTTAAACTCCATTCTCCACCAGGTTGTTCAAATACGTTCGACTTTTGTAACTTTAGGTCAGAATTATGTGATCTCAGCATGTCTTGTTTATTTATGGTTCAGATTTCAGGTGAATTTACCCCTTTCGTGCTTCTCAAAAGAAGCCCTTTGAAGAAAGGGAAGGGGGGAACCTTGTATTTACTTTATGTCCACCCTGATGTATGGTGTTTTGATGCTTTGGCTTACTGTGCCGGGAACCTCTGTGCACTGTGTCACATATTTTCGGTGGAGATGATCCTCTAAACCCCCTGGCACTCTCTGTTTTGTATTTTAGGGCTGGAGGACATATTCTGTCTAGACTGATCCATCATTGTAAAGTACACAGCTTTTGTGCTGGTGGCTTCATTGTGTACTTACCATTGGTTTACATTTCTTTTATCTAGGTGTTTCTTCATTCGCTGGAAAAGTATAATTTTTAGAAATACGTGGTTTGTTTTTACATAGTTATTGGTTTGTTAGTTTTAGTTTAGTTTGGGGACCAGTGATTTAAACTGGATGAATGTGCATGGGTAGGAGCCATTGGTAAGAGACACTTAGGAGAAAGCAACAAAGAACTGCACCCTGGGATTGCTCTCTGCGGCTCTTTCACTCAGAAGGCTGTCTTTGGATGAAGTGATTAGAATCTGCCCTCGGGAGAGTGAGCTACGCAGGGGAAGAGACAACTGCTCTTTCATAGGAGTCAGTTGGTAGCTTAGAGTAGGGCTAATGGTGTGATTACACAGATTCAAATACCATTACTTGCATTTGATTTGTAATTGCAAATAGGAAGAGTTTCAGTTTTCAATATTTTTCAACCAGGAAGGATGGTAATTCAATCTTTCAAATAAGTGGCTATCAGCACAAAACATTGTAATGAGCTAGGGCTCCTCTTTGGGGGACATATGGTGAGTTCCGCACTGTGCAAGATTTTCAGCTATGTGAGTAAGACTAAGTCCGGTCTTCGAGGATGATATATATTAAGACTGACAGCTGTAGGCACCATGCAAAACATTTGTTCAACAAGAGGATACATGAAATACTAGGTGCCTAATTTACATACTTTTTTGTCAAACATTATAAGCAGAAAGTACACAGGACATTTTTATTTTTAACTTGACATCTAGTTCTCAGTGTTTATTTTTCCATTTAGCAATTGGTGGAGAAGGCAGGGTCATTTATGAAATGAGTTGTTATTTGGGGGCAAGGCTTGTAGAATTTACTAGCTGTAGGAAAGGTGGCTCGTGGGGTGAGAGCTAACCTGCGACCCAGGTTCCCTGGGTGCTGCGAAAGGCCCACTTCCTCCTTCGTGACGATTCTAAGGTCAGGGGCTCCTTTGGAGTCATTTCACTGCTCCTGCCACAGCCGAGTTTATGTGAGTCATTTTGTGAGCTAAGACTTTGCACATGTTACTTCACTTGATCTTTGTAATAGTTCTGGTAGCTGTGCTATGGGGTCCACTGTGTTAATTTTAAATATGTTCAGATAGTTCACTAGTTCACGTGTGCTTGTTCATTTTATTTTGAGAATCTGTTTCATGGTCTCGTTACCTACCAGAGACTCATTATTTGTAGAAGTGGGTATGCCCAGTGTGCACTCTGTAGCGTAGGTCAGAGTCTGGGAAGCCTCACTCCTGACTCCCAATTCTAGTACCTACTGATTTTGCAGGTGTTACACTTGTCACCTCCTGTGAAAGACTCAGCACAGGGTCTTTTCCTTATACTTCTCCAGTCTATCCTACGCTTTGCTTACTGTGGTAGATGCATAGTTGTTGATGAATTTGTTTGGTGCTCCAGTGGTATGCCAGTTTAGGTTGTGTTGTCAGGGAACATGAAATAGAAAAGAAGTGTCAAGCCCTAGAGGGAATAAGGGGAAATGATTGGAGAGATTTAGCATTCTCTCACGATTACCTCTCATCCCTTCCCTCTAATGGTTTCATCGTTTTTTTGTGCTGGGAAAACGCAGTTGAATTGGATTTTGTTGGGAAAGTAAAGGACACTGGAATTAAAAAAAAACACATTTCAATATAAAAGTATTTCATGAAAGTAAGAAATACAGAGAAAATTTTATAGCACAAATTGATTTGTACTTCTACTAGATATGCTGTTTAAATGTATTACCTTGAATGTTTATGCTTAATTTTTTAACTTTGAGTTTATAACAGTGATGCTTTAAAATAATGCTTTAGGGAAGAAATATTTGGTCTCAAACTCTCAGTAGGAAATTTGTTTCTGTTTGGACAATCTGACATTTATTGATGCAATGGCATTTTATAATAGAATAACAGGTACCGTTCCTGGTGGACTTAAGTAGGAGTTTGAGATCTCTATTGCCTTTGTCAATCGTTTTCTAACACTGAATTAGAAAGAGGGCCTCAAAGGCTAGGAAGCAGTTGACTGAGTAAACAGTTCTACCAAAACATGGTGGACAATCTCACCAGTTCCTTTAGAGCTGTCTAAAGGAAGGACCCCTGGAGCCTAAGATTAAAGCTCACTCAGAATTTGCACTATTTCCCTCTTGCCGGCTCTCACCCAGGAAGGTGTTAAGGCACCAAGAGTCCATCTTGATGTAATCCATTTGGGCCCAGTGAAACTTCATTTGACAGCTGAAGTGATTCTGTCTCTTTCTACAGCGGTTTCCAACCTAGACGAGGAGAGCAGATGGACCGTCCACTACACCGCTCCGTGGCACCAGCAGGAGAATGTGTTCCTTCCCAGCACAAGGCCCCCCTGCGTAGAGGACCTGCACCGCCAAGCCAAGCTCAACCTCAAAACAGTGCTGAGGGGTAAGGTGGCGACCTGCACACTTGTTGTTCTGCGTGACTGGCCATTCGAATGGAAAGCATAAATCTGATTGTTACTTATAAAAGAAGACTTGTTTATAATGAACATAGAGTATGTGGTGTCTTTTTGACCAGAAGCTTTACCAATACTGTAAAGGCTTGGTAAGGCCTTTTTGAGATACCGTAATACTCTAATATGCTTGGTTCTGTAGAAACCTGCCTGTTGACAGACATGTCCTCAGAGAACCCAGATCAGTCTAGGAACCATTTAGTGAGTTTAAACCACCAGCACTAACTTAGTCCAATTCAGCCCCTGCTGACATGGGAAATTTTGCCACTGCCTTTTTGAAACCACTGTAGGTATTCAAAGCACATTTGTTAAAGCTAAACTTTCTACAAGTTTGTTCTGTGTAGTTCAAGTTGGGAGGCAAGGGAACCTTCAGGACTTTGAAGGACTGCAGATTGTTTGATTTATCAGAACTTGGGCGGCACCCACTGGGCCCCAGTAAGCGTAGGTTCTGTCAGCTGGTGAACAGCGAACGCTGTGGTCAGCGGCAGATACAGAAGGGTGTCCTCTGTTTTAAGATTCTCACTTTTACTTTGACTGATCGTTGGTGGTAAAGAGCATAAATGTGTGACAGGGAGGACTTCCTAGAAGTAAAGAAGGGAGGAGTTTCTTTAAAAGAGGAAGGAATGACTTTTAAGAATAAGAGACTTTTTCTCGAAACAGCAAACCAATGTTCTTATTCTCCTAGATGCTGCTTTACCAGTTCCCTCCTACAATACAATATTGGGACATGTTTATACTAAAAGAGTACTTTTTGTTTATCTAAAATTTACTTTAACCGAGTGTCCTGTATTTTTGCAAGATTTAAATCTGAAAGAAATACTGTCAAAACCCAGCATGAGGCCCCCTTAATTTTCATGATAGTTTTTACTTGTGTATCAGTCATTTATTCAGTAATTCATTCACTAATGTGCTGTTACTAAGACTACTGATTACTAGTGAACATTCATTAAACACTTAACTATATGTATGCCAAGAGCCATTCTAAGCCCATGGCAGGAATCGTCTCATTTAATCCTCACAGGAATCCTACTGCTTACTATTACTGTGGTGGTTTTACACATGAAAAAAATGGAGACAGAAAGTAGAAACTCTCCTTCCATCTCAAGTTAGTGGTAGGACCAGGACCTAAACTTGGACAGTCTTAGTCTCAGGCTGCAGAGCTCAAAATCTTAAGCACTGCACTATATTGCTTTTCACAACCATTTGTTGGAAATCTGTTATCCTGACAGAAGTGCAGAATACAAAGGCAGGACCTTGGCTCTCAGGAATTTATACTTTTATTTATAGTGTAAATCACAATGTGAAAAATTCTCAAGATGGGCCAAAAGTGCTGTATGGGAGTTAGAGAAAGCAGATAATTTCTGCTTAGAGAGAGAAGAAATAGTTATCAAAGGACTCACAATAGACGTGGTATTCTGAACAGAACTGAACAGACCATAGGTCATAAAGCTCTTTTTTTGTTCCTCGAGTCTTTTATGACACTTGGAGTATCTCACGTGTGTCTTATTACTCTATCTTGTATCTTACAGTCTTGACATTTAACTGTCCAGAAATGAGGACATTATTTGGTTCTCTTTCTCATTAACCAGAGGAACCTACATACTTAGTGACTGCAAGCTTAAATGAGAAGAATGTCATTAGTTGGGCTCTCTCGTATGGCTTTGGAGTTGCATTTTGACCTTTGCCTTCCTGATGTTGGTCATGTAATGCACCTAAATCCACCCAAAATGTCTTCTAGATCTCTTCAGTTCCTAGTGATTATCTTTAGTAAATTTTGACAAGGAGTTTCTCTACTTGTAGCTCACCTTCCTCCCCCAAATAATTAACAAGAGTTTTAAATGGCACTGTTCCCAGGACAAAGCCCCGAGGCAGGGCCGCTGTTTAGCGTTCCTCAGAGCTCTGCATCAGAGCTCTGTGCCACCTGGTCTGGCTGGTAGAGGGTGCTTTCAGGAAGGTGTGTGTGAGTTTGAATATTCAGGCCCAGCTTGTTCTGATCACTCTCCAGGAACCCGTGCTTCCCTGTGCCCTTCCTGTGCATCCGAGGGCCAGATCAGAGCTTCTCTTTGCATCCCTCAGACATTTAAACATTTGCATGAAGATTTGTCTGGTTTTATTTTCTTTTTGACTACTCAGTAGGTCCATATGAAATATCATTACCATTGATTTTGCCTTTACTTGGATTTAATTTTGAAAAATAAATGCTTTAGTAATATCCTTAATGCCCTAAAATGATTCACTGAAGGGATTTGTCATGAACAAAATTAGTAACTTTGGAAAATTTTTGGACCTCAACTTTTAAAGTCTGGATTTAAATGAAATACTCCTTAAGAGATTGTAGATAGTAACTTTGAGAACAGTGGTTGGCAAAGATAAAGTAAGAAAGACCATCTGAACTCTTTTCTTCTTCATCTGTTTGTTTTTCCTCACATGTATAGGACTTCACCTTCCCTTTTCCCTACACCAGGTTAGCCACTGAGGCAAACAGAAGGTGAGTGCAGGGTTCTTGTTACCTCATTTCCAGTGAAGATTAAAAAGAAAAATCCAGCTCCAGAATAGATGGCACTATTAAGGTATGATGGTATATAAGGTTACTAGTCTAAGTTAATTTGACCTCCACGTTCTTTGCTTAAAAATCTATTGTAGAAGTGGAGCTAATTATTCACAATGGGAAATCTGTTTTTTTCCTTCTGTTCTTACTAAGACCTTGACCCTAATTTTAAGGAAGGAATACTCTGTTATGTTAAACAGGTTGGCACGTTTTCATAGTCATTAAGTGCTCATTGTATGAACTGCTGTGTCCGTTCTTATGGGCAGGTCAGCTCTCCTCTTGAGGATCATAAAATATGGAGGGAAGTGATAAAGTGGGTAATATCAGTTAATAACTAAGCATTGTAAACATGGCTTATTAAAGTAATGCAGAAATGCTTAGTGGTCAGTAGAGTGAGTGAGGAAGGCACCGGGTTTACTGAAAATGTTATTAAAAAGCTAAGTTTGAGTTACGACAAGCATAAGTGCAATTTAATACATATTTGAGCTTCAACTCTCTACCATGACAGGAGTTTTTAAATGAATGATTAAAGCCTGTGGGTCTTTAAGGGGCTGCTCTCGCTGCCTTGTGTCAGGACTGAAGGAAGCAGATAGTGGTGTTCTGGGCTGTGTGTGGGGTGCTCCGGGCACACAGGGAGGGAGAGATCCGTCCACTGGCAGAGAACCGGGGACCCCCCACCCCCGTGGGAGAGCAACCGGGCTTCCGTGGCATTGAAAATGGCGTGTGGAGTACCCAGAGTAGGTGTTCTCCAGGCGCACTTTTCCCTCTTCTGGTTCAAATACAGCAGAAAACTTTAGTCTTTATTATTATTGGCTAGTCTCTGGAGAATTTGATAGACTTTGGTGGCCGTGTTCTTAGATCAAATGATTTGGTTTTGTTGATTTGTTACTAGAGATAAACAGGTACAGAAAGTTCTCACTTGCAAGTACAGCATAATGGCGTATAATGACACCAGTGTAGGCTAACTGATGGAAACGAGAGTTACTTACTTGTCTACAGTATTTTATGCACACTATAGTGAAACATTGTTGAATGAAACACTACTGGACGACCTGCTATACCTGGATATAAAAATAGTATTTTGGTGTCAGCTCAGCAGAACATCTGGCTAGCAATGGGGAGCGAATTTCTGAAAATGGATTCCACTATCCATAAAGCATCCACTCAGCTTTTTACTGAATTTCCAGAAGAATTCTATCTTTTTCATCTCCATCATCATTTAAGCCCTTCATGAACTTCATCCAAGTTGTGATGATGCGTAACCTTTACCTAACTGATTTTTATCTGGATGACCTTCAGCTTTATTAAGTTGGAAACAGAGAGTTGAGGGGCAGGGTGGTCATGCCCAGGCCCAGTGAGAGGTTTGGATTTTACTTCTTACGACCTAGAGACCTCATCTGAAAATTGAGAGCATATTAAAGGCTGAAATAAAGCCACGCTCTTTTCTCAGGCTCCGCCCCCCAAAAGCCCAGCTTGGGAGAGAGATAAACATACTTTCTCAGTATGTTTAACAGGCAATTTAGTTACAGTGTCTGTGTACACTGCTGCTGCCTGAATTAGTTCCCAGAACATCTGTTGCTGGTATCAGAAATGTTCTTTAGTCACAGCTCCCTTTCCCGAAGAAATCTGTTTTAGCAGGTCAGTCTGCTCTGCGGCTCTGGAACCGCAAGTGTGAGATGGGGGAGGAGTGCTGAACCTGGCCTGCACTAATGCACAGTCAGAGCCTTGCATATATTATATCTGCAGATACAGGAGTTGAGGATTTACAGTGTGAAAAAATGACTATTTGTTCCAACTGATTAAAAACAGTAGTGTGTGTGTGTGAGTGTGTGTGTGTGTGTGAGAGACGTGTGCACACCAACCTGCTCCACATTAGAGAACGATACACCTTTCTTAAAACTGTGGGCAAAATTTCCAGGCAGTGGCCGCCAGGCTGCCCGGACAGTTTCTGACCCACGGACTGTGTCGAAGGCTCGCTGCTCCTGCCCTGCATTGTGGGGAGGCCTCCTAGTTCCCCATTTTTTTATTTCTGTCATTTTTTTGGGGAAAGTCGATTTCAGTCCTCTGGCATAGATAGATAACATGCTATTAACTAAAATAATCACCATGACACACTTGATACAAAATAAATGTTATTAATAAATATGAGTCAATCCATTTAAAAAAAAGAAGCAGCAGCCTCCTAACTCCCTTCTGTTCTGGATTTGGTGAGGAACCTTGGCTGTCTTATCTCTCTTCCTTGGGTCCCTGGGTCTCTGGGGGATCCCGGATGTCCCATGGTTTTGGCCATTCCCCTCTTGGGGGCCCTGTGGCACTTCTCAGAGGACCATCTGGGAGACGCCTTCCTGTGTGTGGCCTGTGGCTGTTGACTGAGAGCTTTCTGTC